TGCGCTTAAATATATACAACAAAAATATTTAGAAGTTGATCCTCAAATAATTAAAAATATATAAATATATTGAAGTTGAAAAGAGAAAATTTCTTATAGAAGCACCCAAGAAGCAAAATAATGTTGCATTGATGAATTTATGGGTTGACAATGATATTATTATTATTATTATGTTATATTCTGTTTTTTATGTATATACAACAAAATAAAAAAATTTTTTTTGTACACATTTAATTTGTATCACATGATTTGATCATAAGTTTCGATTTAGCGGATCTCTCAATTTAACGGATAAATTTTCTGGAAAAAAATATCCGTTAAATCGAGACTCACTGTGTAATTTAGAAGCAAGAATTTGACCACTCGCTCTAACCTTTTTTTGCTCTTTTTGACTTCTATTATATAAATCCAAAACGTCTTCACTATCTTGCGAGATATTGGGTAATGAAGAGGATATGATTTCTTTTTTTGCTTCCGATATTCCACCAACCTTTTCTGTTAGATCAGGAATAAGAATGGATTTGGATTTGGATTTCCTATTTTTTATATGTCCATTTGAAATATTTTTAGACATAGATTCTATTTCAGGAAAATCGGCACTTCGTATCTTAGATGATTGAGGGTATATCATTTGTTGCTTGCATTCACGATTTTCCATATAATCTAGGATGCGATAGTAATTTATTTGATATTTACTTGCCATTACATTTACGGCATCAGGTACCTTACCCATCGACTCTTTAATTTCTTGGATTGCCTCATCGGATAGGTATCTTGCATTTGCACTATAGTATTCTTTATGAATGCGCCCCATAATGAAGTATTTCAGCAAAGCTAGTATAAAATATAGAAAAGTTCCGAAATGTTTCGAAATGTTTTGAAATATTAATACATACAGAAAAGTTTCGAAATGTTTCAAAATGTTAATACATATAGAAAAGTTTTGAAATGTTTCAAAATGTTTTGAAATATTTGGACATATTTTATTAATACATACAGAAAAGTTTCGAAATGTTCTCATATATTTCATCATATTCCAATATATCTTAGCATGAATTGAAAAAACTCTGTTGATAATATTTTCAGCTATTGATATTGATTTATTTTTCAAATATATGAAAAAAAACAATATGGCCAAGGTGCGTACATTGCAAGATACCAAGAGCATGGAGTCCAAAAAAATACAAGGGCAGGGGTATAGGCTTGGTAGTGCCCGCGAACAAGAACTCGAGGAGGCATTACGTGATAGTATCAAGTCCAATTCCGAAATTACTAGTGAATATAAAAATATGCAAGTGGTATATTCGAATCATAGCAAAAATACCAATAAGGAGAATGCTCAATTACAACGCAATCTGAAACAGGCTGATACAGATATTCAACAAATTCGCACCCATGCTCTACAACTTATATCTGAAATCAAGCGATTGAGGAAAGAAATATCTGTTCACAAATCGCAAAATAACCGCCAGCAGATTGCAATGAATGATTATGATATCAAGTTGGATGATATACAAAATGCTTTATCGGAAAAATCAAAAGAAGCAAAATCGCTCCAAACTAAGGTAAAGAAATTGGAGAAAATGAAAGATAAATTATCCTTAAAAGTTAGCAAGCTGGAGCATTTAAAATCAGATGCTATATCTCGGGTTTTACCATTGGGAGAAGCAATTAGTGGAGGTGGCGAGGGGTCGAGTCTCATTTCTTCTGCAATAGTGGAACCTTTAGATTTACTAAAGAAAAATATGCGTCGAGACACTAGTTCTGCTATAGCGAAATCTGATGTTATTTCTGCTGTTGATAAACCTAAGTTAGATTTTAGTAAGTTTTTACGAAAAAAAACAGAGATACCTGAATATGCTATAAAGATCAGTGAGGATAACCCAGGGACTTTGCCCCATAATATGCGGAGCATAGAGTCTCTGGTTCATATACCTCAGATAAAAAATGTTTCGGAAATAGAGCATGAACCACATCCACAGATTTCAATGGGAGGGATGGAAGCAATCCCCGCTATGGCAAGTACTATATTGTCACCAACTATTTCATATGTCTTACTTATCTTGTTAGCAGTCGTCATTATTTGGTTCATATTTATCCGACGCATATGGAATACTCAGAAAAAAAATGAGAACCCGCGGTATGAGTGGGTCAGGTAACCAGGTATTAGTATTGCTTCGCCTATTTGAATATGGGTATATTTATTGTACAGAAAAAAATAATTAATATGTATATATGATAATGATATGTGCCTTGGCACTAGCTCTGGTATAAAGATATATTTGGTAGCATTAATCGATAGCATAACCAGATAGCGTGTAGATAACATTTCCCGATTGCATTATTTTTTTATTAAATATTCTGTGCGGTATATATTCTTAAAGAATTTAGCATAGATATGATTGATCTATTTGGTGACGAAGAAGTATATGACGAGGAATATGAAGTTGAAGACTGTCATGTTCACAGGAATTATCCTATGTGTACACCATGTAAAAAGTGTGGTAAGTTAACTTTTTCTAAATATGATGTACGTATAATGCACGCTGGTAAGTATCGATCTCGAGATCATTATCAGCGAAAAAGGCTAGAGAAAATAGCAGAAAAATCAGAAGTGCTTAAAGAAAACTCATAGCGATATTGATATCATATCTATTCGTAGACCTGCAATCAAGAATCCTGTTACTACATCTAGCATACATATTGGTAGCATTAATCGATGACATAACCAGATAGTGTGTATATATCATGACCAGATAATATATATAATATGTCCCGATCGTATTATTTTTTTATTAAATATTCTATGCAGTATATAAAATGACAACAATGCAAGATCGCAAGAGCAAGCTAACTCAAGCTATTGATAAAATTATAACGCAAAATATTGAGGAAGCAGACTGTAATATTCATGCTACTAAAGCTATCAATAAACTCTTAATACAGGAGGTTGGGAAGGACTGGAAAACTTATATAGAAAAGCAAGATCGTTTCAAGAGAAGTGTCATCCTCCTCTTGTGAGAGGGTTGCGATCGTATCCGGAAGTAGAAGTGGATTATACGAATGCATATTATAGACTAGGTAGGTGAGTGGAACAAAGAGGTATAAATTACACGGAAAATTCAAAACTTTAAATAAAAATTCGTGTGATGGAATTATGGTGCAAAAGCGATAAATTTTTCGAATCGGTAGTACGCAAAAGTAATATATAGTAAGAATAAAATTTTCGAATCGGTAGTATGTAAAAGCACGATAAATTTTTCGATGTGGTAGGACGCAAAAGCATGATAAATTTTTTGAATCAGTAGTACGCAAAAGCAATAAATTTTTTGATATAGTAATACGTCAAAGTATGACCCAATTTTCTTTCGAATCAGTAGTACCCAAAAGTATCGACTATTCGAGAAAGCTTCCTAGAGATCCAAAACATAGCAAACATTAGCAAACAATTGGTGGGACGCAAAGGTAGAATTATATATAGGAAAAGAAAGAAAAAATTTTGCTTTTGCGTCCCACCAAATAGATGGAATTCGGCACTTTGTGCCTCAAACCTGGCATTCGAATTCAAGATACAAAGCCAGATCACGAATACTATTTCGGCACTTTGTGCCTCATCCTCGAATTCGAATGCAACATATAAAGCCAAAATACGGATTGCCAATTCGGCATTTCATGCCTCATCCTAGCATTGAAGTCAATAGCATCACCAAAAGTCCATCGTTATGGACGTCAATAACGATCACTGAAAGTGTACATAAAAGTAAATTGACATTAGTGCATTCAGAAACAGGCTCTAAAGCATTTCCAGAAAAAATTGTCCTTGGATAAAAACGGCACAGATCAAGTTCCTGATATGCACCTAAATCTAACCAAAATCTAACCGAAAAATTCTTTTTCCGCATATCAGAAACCATCTCTAAAGCATCTTCCTGAAGTGATACTTATAGGTGACCGTCCACACATGTGGACGATGGACACGAATGTTACATGGCGGAGTCTGAAAACGCAGAAATCAGACGCCTTCTTAAAATATATACTCCGCTCATCAACCCGCAATCAATACTGGACACATATTTTTCTCATCCAAATGACAGCACAAACTCGAAGACGCAGACAACCACGAAATAGTCTAATTTATTAATAATTACATCATTGTGCATTTGCAAACCAGTATGCTTTGCATCCAGTTTGGGCATAGCCCTCACAATCAGCACTTCATGCCTAGCCTTGGGTGATGAAAGCAATCAAAGGGCCAAAGAAACTCGAAAACCACATCGAAAGGAAGCAAATATCAAGCCAATTAGGC